CCCAGATCCAGGCCCTTTTGGGCTCGATCTGGGTCTGGGCGGGCCTGGCCTGGTCTGCTTGCGGCGTCTCCGGCGGGTCGGGGGCGTGACTCGTGCGGGGGGTGGTGGCGACGGCGGCTCGCGTTCTGCAGCGCGGCGACGGGGGCTTCGCGAGCCTGTTTCGGGCTCGGCTGGGCCAGGGGTGGCCCGGTTTGCCCCTGTGCTGCGTCCGGCCAGATCCCGCCGGGGGCGGTGGAGGATGTCCCCTCCCGCGAGGCTGCTGATGTTGCCGCTCCTGGTTCCCGGTTGCGTCGTCTTGTTTCCGTCGGTCCCGTTTCGTTTGCCATGGTGAGACGGCGATGGAGACTGCTCGACCGTGGTGGCGCAAGTTGGTGGGCGGTGTGTTTGGTGGCGCGGGATGGATCGTCTGGGGTCGTGGTTGGTTGGTGGGCGGGAGAAATCCTTGTCGGCCGGGCCGGCACCGACGCGGTGACGCTCGTGGGCGCCGCCGTGCCTTCCTGAAGGGCGTCGGGCATACCCCTTCCACCTCACCCCTCGCGTACCGGGGGAAGCCCTAGGACATGTCCGGGCAATAGCGTCGTCATCGTCGCAATCCTTCTTGAGGGTGTTGTTTGGTATGCGGCGGTCCGGAATGCTAGGAGCGTGGTGGTATTTTCCGGTGGGCGCGGCGGTTGCGGGTCCTCATCGTTTTCGTTGATCCGCCGGTGTTGGCATTATTTTCTCTTCAGTTCCTTTTTTTGTTTCTTTTGGGCTTGCTTGTGGTGTGGCCCCAGCATTTGTATCGTGTGGTCGTTGCTTTATAATATAAAGCGGGGGGCAACCCTTTTTCGGTAAAAGAGGAAGAGGTATGGGGGTGGAGGACAAGGCAATCGACCTTCCTTGGATGGCAGCGATGAGGATTCAATGCCTCTACCAAATCCAATGGTTGGATTTAACCTGCCTGGTTACAGTGGACCATCAGTGACCCGAATGCTTTCTAAACTAGATACCGGACCACCTTTTTTCTATTACGAAAATGTGGCCCGAGCTCCAAAAGGTGAATGGGCGAAAATTTCAAGAAATATGTTTGACATTCAGCCAGAGTTTGTGGATTCTCTTCATCTGTGTGCAGCTGCAAGGAAAAGGGGTTACATCCACAATTTGCCAATTGAGAACAGATCGCCTCTTCTTCCTCTGCCCCCAAAGACAATATTTGAGGCATTTCCTCATTACAAGAAGTGGTGGCCTTCCTGGGACACGAGAACACATCTCAATTGCTTACAAACATGTGTAGCAAGTGCAAAGCTGACAGACCGGATCCAGCGCGCTCTTGTAAGCTCAAGCAATCCGCCGACAAAAAGTGTTCAAAAATATGTCATGGACGAGTGCAAAAAATGGAATCTTGTCTGGGTTGGGAAAAACAAGGTTGCCCCATTGGAGCCTGATGAGATGGAATATATACTTGGTTTCCCAAGGGACCACACAAGGGGGGTTGGCAAGACACAGCGATACAAGTCTCTCGGCAACTCATTTCAAGTTGATACAGTTGCTTACCACTTGTCAGTGCTGAGGCGCATGTTTCCCAATGGTGTTTGTGTGCTGTCCTTATTCACCGGTATTGGAGGAGGAGAGGTAGCTCTGCACAAGCTTGGGATCCACATGAGGGTAGTGGTTTCGGTTGAGATAGGTGAAGCTAGTAAGAAGATTTTCAAAAGTTGGTGGGATCAGACCCAGACAGGCACATTGATTGAGATTACTGATGTGAAATCTCTCACAAATGATAGAGTTGCATCACTTATTAGTCAATTTGGTGGCTTTGACTTGGTGATTGGGGGCAGCCCATGTAACAATCTTGCCGGAAGCAACCAACACCACCGTGATGGCTTGGAGGGCAAGCACTCAGCTTTGTTTTATGACTATGTCAGAATCTTGAATTTCGTCAAGTCGGCCATGGGAGGACGTAGGATGTAGCCTAATCATTGTACACTACCTATGTTATCGTTTAATGCTTATATCTAGGAACTGTGACTTATCTGTGTTTAAACGTTGAATTGACGTGGAGGATTTATTTTGGAGAAAGCGCACATTAACATTTAGGCATATGGTTTATTGTTGCTAATTAATTTAGAGCCTGTTCATCTTTATTTGAAAAAAAATCTTATTGCAGCCCCCAAATTATTGTTTGCTAGTGCCCTCAATGTGGAAGAAGGTTTAAATTTAAGGACATTATCACTATCTGTGCACCCGAGGTTGATGTCCCAAATAATGATCTTGAGAAGGTTGGGTTTGTTTGTGCACTTTGTATATTTTGGTTGGCCATGAACTGAACATTGTTGCATATCTGCAGCAGTTATGTCTTTCAGGGAAAAGGTCGAATCCCTGGAGGAAGTGAAGTAAATTTCCTTGTGCCATCTGTGAGCTTCTTTAGTTTCTTACCATGTATTCCTTTCAGTTACTAGAGTTAAAAACAAAATACTACTCTTGCTAGCAGAGCCAATACAAGCTAGCAGTTACCAATACAAGCTAGCAGTTACCAATACATGGATATATGTATCTTGCCTGCTGGATCTGCTCTTTTCTGCATCCCTGGGCAGAAGGCTATCACCTTGAAGTCTTCTTTAGTTTGTCTCGAATTTATGGCAAATGGTGGTTCCTTCTTTTTACTGTCGCTGTCTAGTTTGTTTTATCACTATCTCTCTTCAAGTCTCGTCGTTATATCTGAATCCAGCATGACGGCCGACAATGTTGTTCTTCAGTCTAATTTAGCGATAGTCATCTGAACTTGCAAATCTACAACACTTGCGACTAATGCTACTGTCTCTTTATTATTCCAAGAGTTTAGCAGTGAAATATGTTGTTTGGTATATAATCTTGTTGTTAGCCTGTTTGGAAGTTTGATAAAATGCATGGAGCTTGTAGTGTAGTGCTGCTTGGTTATGTTGTCACAACTCACAACACGAGTATGCATACAACTGATCTTCTTGCGCCAACTTGCAATGAGAAGCTGTTTTAAGCTGTACTGTACTTCTTTGTTTCAGAATGTACTTGTTCCATTCATAAGTTTGGTGTAGAAAGCAGTATTTTATTACTACTGGCAAAATATTCCTTTTTTGTGCAACTCGGCCTAAAAATGTCAGATAAAGAAATAGGTTTTCCCAAAAGGATTTTAACTATGACCTGCTTGACAACTTATAATTTGCACAAACATTATCCTGCATAGTTTGTCCTTGGTCTGAAAACGTAAATCCTGATGTTGTATTTCGAATCAGGTTGTTGTCTGTATCATATGGATAATATGCACAGGCAAGATGCTGTTATCCGTTTTACATCAAGTAAGTTTTCACTGCATTTTGTTTTTGTTGCTTTTCAGAATCCCTAAACCATCTAGATGTAGAGCAAAGCTAGGATGATGAAGTAAGATCTTCAGCAATCACCAAGGCTGATCACTATCTTTTTTTGATGACTTCAAATTTTTCAAGGAGTGCACAGCGTACAAGGATGTAAGGTTTCTGCACTTGTATCCATAGGAATTTGGGTGTCGGTAAATTCTGTTTTCGATGGATTTTGAAGGGGAACTTTTCTTTACCAAGGATCAGACAATACTAAGAGACTAACAAGAGTACGGTAAATTACTAGATCATCCGTAGTTCGATACACTAGAACTTGCTGTGGCTACTTTCTTGGGGCTCTGAAAATAATTCCTCTGAAACAGAATCATTCAGTCATACCTTCAGTTGAGTAAATAATGGCTCTGAAAACTAGGATCTCTCATCTTGGTTACCTTTACCTACTGCACTGCAAAACCGGAAGCTCAAGCTCATGCTAGGTTAGGCTCAAAGAATAATGGTGATGATTAGTTAGCTAAAATCTGGAAACCCCTGCCCATTTGCTCTAGCTGACAGCAAGAATAATAAATAGCAAGCACTATGCCTGATTGTGTCCTGAATGCCTAATCGTGTTCCACATGAATATAATTTCATTGTGTTTGACTTGTGAAATCGTGCAGATGTGGGCGTCAAAGTTTTGTCTGGCTGCGGAGAGATGCCTGGAGTTCCATTACAGTGCAGGTAATCTCAAGTATGACGAAAACGGGTCTCTTTTGCTTCTGCCATGACTCTGAATCTCCACTGCACTTGACTGCACCCTCTATCTTGATCTTCTTGACGACTTATAATTTGCACAAACATTCCCCTGCATAATTTGTCCTTGGTCTGAAAGAACAATTCCTGATGATATATTTGAAATCAGGTTGTTGCCAGGATCATATGGACAATATGTAGAGTCACGCTGCCGTTATATGTTTTCCTTCCAGTAAGGTTTCACTACATTTTGTTCCTGTTCCATTTGAGAATCCCTAAACCATGTAGATTGTAGAGCAAAGATAGATGATGGACATCTTCACTAATCACCAGGGCTGATTACTACTACCTTTTTCTTCTTTCCTGCAGTTGACGACTTCAAATTATTCAAGGAAAGCATGGCGTACAAGGATGTAAGGCTTCTGTGCTTGCATCCATGTAAATCTGGGAGTCAGTCAATTTTGTTTTGAATTAAGGGGAGATTTATTTTTCATCAAGGACAAGACAATAATAAGATGTTAACAAAATGCTCAGAAAAATCGCTTCGCTTTTGTGCCACTTCAGTTCAGTAAGTTGGATCATTCTTACCCAACGAAATTAGATAATTTATACCTTCAGCTCAGAACCAATTGCGGTTACTTTCCTGGGGCTCTGAAAACAGTGGCTCTGAATTTTGATCATTCAGTCATGACTTTAGTTCATTAAACGTACAATTGCTCCGAGAACTGGGATCTCTCATCTTAGTTACCTGTACCTAGTGCATTGCAAAACCAGAACCTCAAGCTAGGCTCACAGAAGGGTGATGATGATTAGTAGGTAAGATCGGGAAACACTATGCTCTACCCATTGCTGTAGCTGACAGCAAGAACGTACAGCAAGCACATTATGCTCGATTGTGTTGCGGATGTCTAACCAAGCTCCATCTCACTGTTCTTTCTTTGTGTTTGCCTTGTGGGATGCAGATGTGGGCATCCAAGTTTCATCCAATGGTGGAGAGATGCCTCGAGTCGCATTTGGTTGGTCGTCAACCCTGTCCTCGCGGGCAACCAGCTGATGTAGACCTCTGAGCCGTCGTGCTCTGAACCTGAACCTGAACTGGATCGGTCTGTATGTTTTTTGAGTTGTTCAAAGAAAGAGATGCTGAAACGGAACCTCCGTCAGTCAGTGTGCTTACAGGGCTTGGTTTCTGTAGATTTTGAACCGGAGGTGGAAGATGACATTATCCCTCTCTTTTCGGAGGGGCGAGGTAATGTAATCTGCACATCTCTCTAGCGGACAGCAAGCGCTATGCTTGATTGTGTCGCGGTCCGATATGTGTTTGCCTTGTGAGATGCAGGTGTTGTGTCGAAGTTTCATCCGGCCGTGGCCGCGGAGAGATGATGTCTTTGCAGATTAATTCTTTTTATGTGGTTTGTCCACAAGCAAGTAATACTCACAAAGGACAACTTACTTAAGAGGCGATGGGTAGGCAACTCGCGGTGTTGTTTTTGTGCTCCGGATGAGACAATACAACATTTATTCATTGAATGCCCACTTGCCAAGTTACTTTGGAGAACGATTCATATAGCTTTTAATATTAATCCCCAAGTAGATATTGCGTCTTTGTTTGGGACGTGGTTAGCTGGGTTTGAATAGATCACGGCAGCTCGTATTTGGATTGGAATATGTGCGTTACTATGGGCTATATGGAACTGCAGAAATAATATGATTTTTAACAGACAATTCAACTTAACTTTTTTGCAGGTTATCTTCAGAGCTACAGTTTTGGATCCGTACGTGGTCCTTACTCACTCTTATGGACTCCAGGGAGCCTTTGGTTACTAGGTGCAACCAATGGGAGATGGTGGCTCGGGCTATATTCAACCGGTTCAGATGGCGTTCGCATAACATGATATGGGGCTAGAGAGCTTGTCCTTGTTATCACCATATCGGTTGCTTTTAGGCCCTTTGTATTTTTTAGATTTATGTGCTATGACTTTGCTCCGTTTATGAGCTGTAAGACCTTTATGTTGATATTTTCTAAATTTTTAATAAAAGGGCCGCATGCATCATCATGATGCAGAGGCAGGGGGTATACCTCCATTTCTAAAAAAAACCAAGCTGATCGACATAGGTAGATCCTGAGCCGTCGTGCTCTGAACCTGAACCTGAACTACATGAGAAATTCGCGCTTTGCCAGTGTGGGTGCATGTATATTCAGTGTTCTTTGCCTGTCTACTACAGTACAAATTCCTTTATCTAATAATAAATAAACATGTGCTGAGGTCAGAAACTTGACAAATGTTAACAGCAAGCTACCGAATGAACTTTTGCCGAGTTCTGAGCTCGGCATATGTTTCAGGACAATGGTTCGCTGAATTTCGGCACTCGTACAAAATCTGACCACCTGAGCGTGACGGAAAGTAGCGGGCAGAGGTAGGACACTAGTACGTTTCAACCGCCAAAATGAATGACAACTGTGAATGATGCGGCCCTCAGGTTGCCTTCCCCACACAAACAGTAACAATGGCACAATTAGGATGTTATATACTTAATTTCATGAAATTAAAAAAAATCACACTCTGTTTCTTCTACTTCAAAGGTGTATTTTATTTATTAAAAAAATAAATTTCTATCTTTGGCCAAGTTTATAAGAAGAATCATCAATATCTATCAAAAACTAATTAAAATATAACCAATGATGCTTTGATATTGTAGATTTTGATAGTATTTTTTTCTATGTACTTGGTCAGAGATGTAAAATTTGGACTCTAAGAAAAGTAAATGTATCATAAAAACAGACAGGAGGCGATTAAATATTGTTATATATACTCTTTTTGGGAATTAAATACTGCTATATCTTGTGCACCTTGCCCCGGTATTGAACCCAATGGTGAGTGTACACCTTGCTGCCATGTAAAAGAAACTAGATCATTGATGGCGCGCGTTGCTGCGCCTATCCATTTTTACACTTTAATGTTAGGGGTTGATGTAATTATATGGAGCCATAGACAAATACTTATCATGTTGAATTAAGTTAACAGGGCTACTTCCATGCCGTAGCCTTACGATGCCAAATTTCAAAATCGTAATGCTATTTATAGAGAACTTCCCCTTGAATTGAAGATAGAATAGACCAATGAAATCAGGAAAGAAAATCAATTATCAATATGATTATTTACTCCGATAACAAACTTGATGGCATTACTTGTGATACAATTTGCAATAGGTTAGAAATCAAATGCCTAACTCAAACAGAAATTTCTCATGCCCTATATCATACATTGGTAGCTTTATGTCACACATGAGCATATTTTCCACAACTACATGATACGCAGGGCAGGGAAGCAGATTTATTAGTGGGAATTCACTGTGTTGAGACTCTATGTATATGCATGCATGTATATGTGTCTGTAATGATATATTTCCATATGTTAATGGTGGAGACATTAGCTACTTGGGCAAAGAATTGCAGTTCAACATTTATGGTGAGCGTTGAGTAAACACAAGATACATGTGCGTAGATATACTTCTGGCAACATATGTATGTTGTAGGTATATTTGAAAACCAAAACTATTACCTCTAGCGACTCCATGTTTGAACATAGATATGATAATAGCCCTCTCAGTGTGGTTTCTGAGCATCTCAACAAACATGGGAGTAAGTAAGTCTCTTCTTGTATTGAAAGCTAGATCGTTTGAATAAGTGGAAATTGAACGTGCCATTGTGGCCATTATATATACTAACGCATTCGAAGAAGATATGGATTTATAATGAAATTTAAATCATCATGCCCATTCATGTTTACAATATTAAAATATCTAAACTGCTATGCTTAAAAGCTAAAGAGAACAAATGGGAGACATGACCTGCCAAGATATTTTTTTTTTTGCAAATTACTGTTGCAGAAATGAAAAGGTAACACATCTGTTCTGGATGTCCTTGAATAAACCGACAAATGAGATGAGTTAGTGACATGTATACAAATTTTACAATTTTCTACAAGCAATATTAGAAACATTCAAGAGGCAGTCGGAAAAAAATAAAGGTATCTTCTCTTTGTAACTAATTCATGATGTGCAAGGTGTGCCATATCATGATGATCAGATGATAAATAGAAAAAATAACCTGAATGTCAGGACCTGCACAAGAGTGGGTCATTCAGAATCTTGTGCGGAGGAGCAAGTCGCTGATAAGTTAGCATGAAGAAAGTGAGGTTCTAACATAGAGATAAAGGAAATCAGTCGACGAAAAGTAGAGAACTATCTTTTATTTTTGATAACACGAAAAGTAGATAAGTAAATTCAAAGCCTTCACCTTATTTTGTTCAATTTATAGGAAAAGCTGAACCAGTTGACCTATTGATAGTAATAGTGCAATTCTATAATGACCGACAAGAATACCAAAAACATATACTCTCTTTTTTTGTGAACATAATATCCTCTTATATATTATAATCTCTTCAATAAAAAAGATCCATCTTCATTACTCATTATATATTGATAGATCCACTGTAGTAGTTGGACATAATAATTTTCCTATAAAGAACACATGTCTGTGATTTTGTGCTCAAAATTCCAATCAACTGGGTGACATCCTGATTGTTGTGGAATGCTAGTCCTAGGCACTCTGAAAGGACAAATCCAAACCAGCAGAGAACACTGATTATATGCAAGATAAAGGGAAGGGAATGATCTGTACCAGCGGACTCCATCGAATGTTGACATGTACCCCCATTTCCCTTGTCGAATTGTTCTTGTAGAGGCAAACCTAGGTCGCTGCCAATGATCATTCGTTAAGGCTCGAGCCCCATGCAGCCACAAAGTGGAGACCATTCTTGCTGCACCGGTCTGAAAGCCAAGTAGTTGACGATCATGCCGCTAGATCTAGGAGAATTCAGATGCTAAAGTAAACAATATCAACTTTACTATAGGATCCCGCCTCAAGGAGACAAGAAGGAACATATTATTTTATTTATCTGAGGATGCTGATTGCTGAAGGAGCTGTACGTACCCTTGAGGGATAGAACCAGTAGAGGATTGATTCGCTGAATTGATCAGCGTTGGCATGGGAGTCGCTGCTGCCCCACCGCCACCTGCAGCGCTGTCCACCGCCCGAACACCAACCCGATGGCCTCTCCAAGCGCCGCCTCCGGATCGGTGGAGATCTGGGCCATGGCGCTGTCGGATGTGGCAATGGTGTCACGCCTCACTGGTCTGAGAGTTGAGCCCCTCTCTGCTGCAACTGGAGAAGGAAGACAGACGGTGGCTGGTCAACGTCGTGGAGGCGCGACGATTCGTCGGCGGCCGCGAGGGATAATGAAGGGAGGGATTGCCTCCCCTTCGATGTCCTTGACCTGACCTGAACTGAAGCGACGTCGCACACCATCTAATTGGTGGGCTGTTCTTTCACCAACCGCTAAACGGGCTGCCTGGCCCAATCAACCAGAGGCCACCGATTTTTCCACTGGAATAGCCTCCCTAGGTCACCCGACCCATTGGTTAATTACGGGATTAGATAGTCATCTGATGGCCAGCAACGACCCGGAACAAACATCCGACGGCCAGAAATCTTGATGGTCTGGGAGGGCAGGGAATGTGCTCAGTTTTAATGTATCTAAATTATGAAACAGAGAATGGATATCCGATGGTGAGCAACCTTTATTGTCACGGATTATCACAATGCACAATAATTGGCTTGCTTACACTTTCCTCAATCTTCAGAGTTCAAATAAATTCCTTTGGATAATGTTCTAGGAAAAACTGGAATCACGTCCTAAGTCCGTGAATAATTTTGCCCCGTAACAGAACAAAAAATACAATTCAGAAATAAAACTCAGAATTTTCAACCAAGATGGTCTATTTATTCAGAGAAGTCGACCATGCTCAGTAATTGTAGTTGCATATTTGTCTTTATCAATCCTGCTGCAATGATTTTTTCTTGTCTTCCCACATGGCAATCCTCTCATGCGCCTTCTCCACCTTCAAATTACACATATGACACATAAACAATGAGAAATATGTGCAACATCATTAATTAATTGCTTCACATAAATTTTATTGTCACCTTCCCTTCTATTTTCTCCCT